CGGGGAGGGCCGCCTGGGCACAAACCGGCCGGCTGGGAGTGGGTGGTGGTGGGAACGCACCCCGGGTGTGCATGGGAGTAAATGCGTGTGTGAGCACACGAAGGTTTGAGTGTGGGTGTGTAGGAGCGCGCATGTGCGCAAAGCGTTGTGCTGGGCGAGTGTGTGAGTAGCCGCGAGCGTGCACGCGTGTGTGATGAGTGTGGTGAGCGTGTGAGCCGGCACCCAGGGAGGCACGGGGCGCAAGGGAGAGGCTTCGCGGCAAACACCGTGTTCTTCCCGTTTAGGTGCCGCAGGGACTTGTGGGACTTTGTTCACCGCAGGGATTTGTGGGACTTTGTTGACCGCAGGGACTTGTGGGACTTTGTTGACCGCAGGGACTTGTGGGACTTTGCTGACCGCAGGGACTTGTGGGACTTTGCTGACCGCAGGGACTTGTGGGACTTTGCTGACCGCAGGGACTTGTGGGACTTTGCTGACCGCAGGGACTTGTGGGACTTTGCTGACCGCAGGGACTTGTGGGACTTTGCTGACCGCAGGGACTTGTGGGACTTTGCTGACCGCAGGGACTTGTGGGACTTTGCTGACCGCAGGGACTTGTGGGACTTTGTTGACCGCAGGGACTTGTGGGACTTTGTTGACCGCAGGGATTTGTGGGACTCAGACCTGGACCCAGGTGGATGGGCCTCGCTCCGTGCCAAGCCCGGCTCCCCCAGTTCTCAGCTGGGACTGCCATTCCGTATTGACCCCAGGAATTTGTGGGACTCAGACCTGGACCCAGATGGATGGGCCTCGCCCTGTGCCAAGCCCGGCTCCCCCAGTTCTCAGCTGGGACTGCCATTCCGTTGGGATGAAAACAAGGTGAGGGCTTCTCAGCAGGAAAAGCAAGGAGCCCAGTGGCCACAGGTGGGTCTCCCAGCAGCCCCAGTGTTGGCAGCTGCCCGGCTGGGGCGGGACGGGGTTGCCACGGTGGAGCGCACACACCACACCAGGCCAGAGCCAGAGCCCTGGGGTGGGGGTGGGGGGTTGTCTCCCGCTGCTCCCCTCTTGGACCTCCCCGTCGCTTAGACTCCCCGGGGCCCAGGAGACAGCCATGCTGAGAGCGAGACTCGGACCCCGGAAACCACCAGCTGAGTGACAGCCGGGGGCACAGGTCCCTGTGGAAGAGGCAGGTGGGTTCCGGGCCGTCCGTGTCCCGCTGAATCCCGTTTCTGGGGTGGGGTCGGAATCTGCCTTAGTAACAAGCTTCCCTGAGGCAGGGTTTGAGCCACATATCCGACCAACCCCCTGAACTCTCCTGACCGGGACCAAGGCCCCCGGGGGGTGGGGGGGACTTACCCGCCGCCCCAGGGCTGCAGAAGGGCAGAGCCCGGGCTCCCGATGCCTCCTGCTCCCTGCTCACCGGGCCGCGCTTGGTGCGATGTGGATTCTCCCACAGGACGCAGACCCAGTTTCACGATCGGAGCTCCCAGAAACCAGTCTCTACCAGCGGTTGTGGCCAGCGCCACTGTATTGGAGGAGGGTGTGCTGCGGGTATGGGGTGTCTGCCATGCCCTCCCCATGTCTGTTATTTCCCCGCCCAGCGGGGCCAACAGGTGCCTGGCAGGGCCTGCTCACTGACAGACCCCCCCGCAAACCTGCCACAGGCCGGCGGGAGGCCACTGGGCAGAGGGCCGGGAGGAGCTGCCTCTGAGCCGTAGGAGCCCCCAGAAACCAGTCTTTACCAGCGGTTGTGGCCAGCGCCACTGTATTGGGGGAGGGTGTGCTGCGGGTATGGGGTGTCTGCCATTCCCTCCCCATGTCTGTTATTTCCCCGCCCAGCAGGGCCAGCAGGTGCCTGGCAGGGCCTGCTCACTGACAGACACCCCCGCAAACCTGCCACAGGCCGGCGGGAGGCCACTGGGCAGAGGGCCGGGAGGAGCTGCCTCTGAGCCCCCATTCCTTGGCACTGGCGGGTCAGTGGGCAGGAGTCCCAGATGCCATGCAGGTGGTCCTCTTCAAGCTTCCTCACCGGCTTCGGTGCCCGCGTCGCCCCTGCCTGAGGCTTAGGGCGCTGGGGGGGAGCCCCGGGGGAAGTGTCTTTAGCGGCCCATGGAAAGAGGAGGTGCTTTCAGGATATTTCCTTCAGCAACAAGGATAATCATGACGATGAACCCATTTATCGAGTCTTATGTGCCAGGCCCTGTGCTAAACCCCTCTGTGCCACCCCGATACAAGTCAATGCCATTATCACTGTTGTTGTCAGACAAATTATAGTAATCGTTAATGTTACTGGGCATGTGCCCTGTGCCAGGAGCCAGGCACGGGGCCCAGTGTTGTCCACAGGTAATTTTCACTTCATGAATAAGTTCTACATTATTGTCAGGTGTTATTGTTCCATTTTGTGCATGAGGAAAACGAGGTCAGAGGGGTAAACTGTCCAAGGTCAACGATGGCATCCAGGGAGGTCGACCCCAGAACTTAGGTTTCTCTACTCCAGACCCTAAGCTCTTCATCACAATGTTACTCTGTCTCTCAGAGTTATCTCTTTAAGACATTTCTAGCCCAGCCAGCGTGGCTCAGTGGTTGAACATCGGCCTATGAAACAGGAAGTCACAGTTCGATTCCCGGTCAGGGCACATGCCCAGGTTGCAGGCTTGATACCAAGTGTGGGGCGTGCAGGAGGCAGCCGATCAATGATTGTCTCTCATCATTGATGTTTTTATCTCTCTCTCCCTCTCCCTCTCTGAAAAAAAAGATATATATCTATATCTATATATAGATATAGATATATAGATATGTGTGTGTGTGTGTGTGTGTGTATCTGGGCTTTCTTTATTGGAGGCAGTCATGCCAGCTCAGAAAGGCAGGCATGTCACAGCCTCTGTTGAAGTCAGTCAGGCCAGGCATCACGTGACACCGTGGTGTTCTTCCTCTGAGCTCGCTTTCATTCTGCTCAGCAACTTGGTTCCACCATGTGAACACTGTGGCCCGGGAACTCCAGAAACGGGGATTTAGAGTAAATTGTTTCGAGGAGAAAAGCAAACAACACAAACAAAAGATGGATGAGGGACAAGCTCTGTGCAAACCCAGGAGACAAAGACCCTGCAGTCCCAGTCGACCACCGGCGGAGCTTTAGTCAGGCGGCTACTGCTTTACATCATTACTGAGCGGTGGGCTCTGATAGTAGACTGGTTAAGGTGAGCACCACCACTCAGGGTCACATCTCAGGTGTAGAGTGGGCTACCTCTTTTCATGATGCCATAACTACTGTTTCTGGACTTCTATCATTCTCTTCTTGGGACTCCCTCCTCACTCCCCCTCTTGACAAAAAAAACGAAACCAGGCGAGAAATTAATCCGAGGCTCTATTTCTTTTCTTTCTTTCTTTTTTTTTTTTGTGTTAATCGTCACCTGAGGATATTTTTCCATTAATTTTTAGAGAGAGTGGAAGAGAGAGGGAAAGACAGAGAAAAACATCGATGTGAGAGAAACACATGGATTGGTTGCCTCCTGCACGCACCCCAACCAGGGCCTGTGCCGGGAAGGAGCCTGCAACCAAGGTACGTGCTCTTGACTGGAATCGAACCCAGAACCCTGTGGTCCGCAGGCCGACACTTTACTGAGCCACACCGGCTAGGACCGGGGCTCTGTTTCTTTACTTTGGTGTAGCTCTCAAGACGGGGTGTCCAAAGCTGCTATTTGCTTAACCAACATCCACACCCCTGTCTGTTGGGAGTGCCAATGGGCTTTTTACTGGTCTAACACCACGTTTCTCAGCCTTTCAGAAAGAGCCAATAAGATGTAATAGAAGGTTATTGGGTGGAGTTTCTGGGAAAGCTCTGGGATGGAGGCTGACTCAGCTGGGAGGCATGTCCCTTTGCCCTTGCTCCTTTCTACTCCCTGCTGCCCGGGATGTGGGTGTGATGTCTGGAGCTGCAGTATCTATTTTGGGATCATGAGGTGACCTCAAGCATGGGACCCTCCTGTGAAGGACAGCCAAGGCAGGATAGAGCAGCGGTCGCCAACCTTTCGGACCTCACGGACCACCAGTGGTCCTCGACCGCTGACCTAGATTGTGCTTGGGTCCTGGAGGGACACTGTGGGCACCTGTGAGCAAGTCGGGAGTTTTTAAGAAAGTGTAAGTGGGAGGGACGGACGGGGATTAAATGAAAGCACATGTGGAAGGCACTCGGTGCTGGGCCAGGCGCAGAGTTGGCGCGCCTGTATCTTAACTAGCACTTGTATTCCACTTGAACAAATATGGCGGCTACCAATGAGCCCCTCTTCCTGTGTTGCTGATGGTTTGGAGGGGGTGGAACAACCTCTTTTCTAAGCCCTGGATGCTCCACTGGCCACATCCACACACGCCAGACCCGCCTTGGACTCTGTCTGTGGAATGAGGTTAAGATGTCCCTCCCTGACCAGAGGCGAGACCACGCTGTACAAGCTGCAGCGATGTTGGCTGCTGCACTTCTGATCCCGGCTGCGTGTTTTGCATCTTTATCGTGAGGATCCACCGGCAAAGGGATGTTTCTGGGAACAAAGTCCTTCGGCAAATGGAAGGCCAGACGGAGCCGCTTAGACTGAGATAGAAGCTTTTGCTTAAAAAAAAAAAAAAGGTTGCGTGTGCCTTTAAGGCCATTTGGCTGAATTGCTGATTCGGTGAGCAAACATTGACTGGACTGAGGAAATGTGGGGAGGGCCGCGAACTTCCAGGATGTTTCTGGAGCCGTTGCTGAAAGCTGCTTGCACAGGGGAAGTCTCCCCAGGTAATAAGAGAGCCACAGCACTGGAAGCTGAGCGGAATTTATGACATTAATTAAGTTCATCACATCCCGCGCCCTGTATCACCGCTCAGCTGCCTGCAGCTACTGATGAAGCGCTGTCCATATCCACGTCTAAATTACCGCACTCCCAGCACCCAGCGGCACACCGCGGGCCCGGCCACTGCAGCACCCCGGGGTGGTTCACGTGGGCTCAGACAAGCCCACACCTGCCTTCCTCTCTGGCCTCATCCCGTCTGTGTTTTCTGCTTCTGCTGACCTGCCCTCTAGGAAAGCAGGCCCCACTCCCACCCCCGACCCCCTCTGGCCATCAGGTCTGCCCCTGGTGTCCCCAGGCTGCCAGTCCTAGAGAGTCAGGGTCAGGGTCAGGCTGGGGTTGGGGCACAAATGCAAGGCTCTGTGCCACCCCATTGCTGTGCTGTCCTTCGCCACCCAGGCCTGGAAGGGACACTGCCTGAGCCCAGAGGCTGAGCCCCTCTCACAGAATTGGCTCTGCAGGCCTAGCCTCGAGCCCTCTCCCGCCTCCTCCACCGTTCTCGCCTCCCCTTCCTCCCCCGGGCACTTCTGCACCAAACCCTTTTATTCTCCTCCAGGCCTAAGAGATGAAACCACACATTTGTCCATTCCTGCAAATGGAACCAGGCCAACACAAGGCCCAGGCCTGCAAACAGCAGGCTCTGCCTCCCATATGGCCTCCTCAGGGTCACGCTGCTACATCAAACTCCTCTTTATTCTTGAAGAGAGGTGGGGAAAGTTGTGCTAAAAACTTCTGGTATCGATAAAGAATTGCACTTGGCTACAAGTACCAGAGAACCGAAATAACAGTGGCTAGGACGAGATGGAGAGAGGTTAAGTGTTTGTCTTCTGTTAAAAGAATTCTAGAGGCAGCCAGTCCAGCTTTAATGCAGCAGCTCCATGGCCATCAGGGACCTGAGTTCCTCTATCCCAGCGGGCGCCAACCGGTGGTCCACGGACCCCTGGTGGTCCGCGAGGTCTGAAAGGTTGGCGACCGCCGTTCTAGGTCACACTTTGGCCAGAGTCACTGGAATGTGCGGAGTGCACACTCCCTTCTTTCTACCAGGTATGGACAAGGAAGCCCCCTCTCCCAAAGCCACCTGCCCATCAGCTCGGGGCAACGCTGTGCCAGTTACCACACAGGCCCCTCTGGGTGCGTGTAGCTGGCAGGGGGGCTCGGTGGTGGCAGGGCTTCCAGGGGATCTGGCCGGCTGTGGTGGAGGCAGGCACTGGTTGGCAGGCGGGCCCAGAGCTCTGGCAGAGGGACCACACAGAGCGGAAGGGCTGGGCCGGGGTGGGCCTCCTTCCACAAGCCCCGCCTGCCCCCAGGGGCATGAGCAGGTCCCAGGGAGGG